CAAGTTATCCCGTATCTTGATCTCGTTTTGGACAACACTAGTTTGTCCCATAACGTGCTCATCGCCAAACACGTCGCTATACTCTTGTAGCAAAGTCAGAGTGTCGGTAGGGTCTTTTGAGTCGAGGTAAAGGTTAGTAGTCACGTAGTCACCTGGGGCAGGGTACAAGCATTGGCACACTGACTGTGACTAACTGATCAACACTTAGTATGACGTCCCATCTTACAACATCACACATGACAAGAGAATGATTTCAGGTGAACCCTTGTAAAGTCACGAGGAGGGCGACGGAGTCCATTGTCTTAATAGCGGTTCCGTTGACGGTAATTAACTACAGCTGATTGATCAGAGGTTTAGGGTTGGCCCCCAGTCGTTGAAGAAGCTTTCTGCGCACAACAGTGGACGATGCTCCAGTGTCGGCCAGAAAAGCTACATCTAAACCGTTAAATTTACCCTCAAGGATAAGTGGGGATTTCAAACATTGACTGAATAAGGGTACATTGAGAGATGGCTCACCTTGAGGTTTTTTATTATGTCCACATTTCCATGCTCTGTGACCAAACTGATGACAATAATAACATCTGCTGGGCTCATCATTTGGTTTGAAGGGGGTTGCCGGTGGAGTTGTAAGTTGGAATGGTGATGGAACGTTAAGGCGATGTTGACGAGGAGCTAGGACGAGTGTTCTTTGGCCACTGGTCCCTAGTGCATAACAGGAAGTACTGGCAGTTGACGAAAGAATATGCTCCAAGCTGTCGAAGCGTTTGACTACATCGGGAGTCTCTGAGATAGATTTTTCCGGTTGACGCAATAGCTGGCATTTGAGCTCGTGCAAAGCGGGTACAAATGGCTTCATCGTGGTTCGCATTGGTGGGGGTAGGGAAGGCGTAAGACGCGATCTCACGAAACTGGTGAAGGTAGTTGGCAGCTGTCTCACCCGGTTCTTGACGATGGCTTAGGAAAGAGCGCATGTATGCGGATGCACTAGAAGGTTTTGCGAAGCATTCAACTAGGTTGCGCCAGTTGTCGTTGAGCGTCTCGGACGGGGAGAATCTCCCAGTGATTGCACGACCTAACGCGGCATCACTCATCGCTAACATGATCTGAGTATACTGAGCTTGTGTAGATAGATCTGTGAGGAGAGACTCCATGCGAAAGTTCCACAGCGCATAGTTGCTGTTGATATCCATAGGTGGTGGCCCTCACACAGGGAGAATGTATCCTGCGGATGAAGGATGTGTGTTGGCTTTCTGGTTGGAGAGTATTGCAGGAGGTCCGAATGAGTCCGATTTCATGTTTAGACTGAGTCTGGAATACCTCCGACACTAATTTGTAACGAGAAAAGTAGCAGACACACAGGTAATTAAAACAGAACACCAGCTGTTCAGGGAAACGTTTATTCCCCGAAATCAGCTTTTAAAAAGTGCGGGAGCCCAGTCGTAGAGTATAACAGTTTTACTGGTCTTCGTTAATGTTTATATTCTGCAATTCTTGGCTTCTGAGTATCTTTCTGCAAGTGAAGAAGATAAAACATTTATCAGTGTTATAATATAGGTTTTGTTTTTATTACATCACCATGCCGCTGAATGACGTTTGAAATTACCGCAACTCTAATGACAAACTGGCCAATCACAAGCGACTATGATTGCATCACTTGTTGATCTTACTCGTGGGCTCAAAGAATTACGGTCGTTGACATGCTGCCGACACGCTACCCTCAGGTCTTAATTGGAGTCTCTAAATTTAGTCCAAACCAATTTGGGCACATGGTTTCCTCGAGATAGTCGCATTGTCCCAGTCGGAGAAATTTTCATACCTGTGATTTGTGGGTAAAAATGTGGACACTTTCCTCTTCAAAAGTGGGTACATTGGAAAAACAGTGGCCCAATTTCGAAAGTAACATGGGCGAACAGGGAAAATGAGGGCAATTGCTTTCTGGGGACATGGGTAATGTTGACGAGTGACGGTAATTGTTTCTAACCACTTTATATCTACCAATAGCAGTTACATACCAATCTACAATGATTCCCTCTTCATAAATGTATGTTTTATTCCATCCTATCAGCCTATTATCCTTACAATACTGAAATACTAGGTCTAGATGACACTCAAAACTTAGTCCGTGTATTTATATTTCTAGTATTTTTAATATATTTGTGCGTTGAGGTTTCTGTAGCAATTTGGTTAAGTTTTGGGGGTGGAGTTGCTAGCACCACGCCCCAACCCTCCTTCTGTATCCGGGCTTGGGACCGGCTAGAAAACTAGTGAGCTAGAAATCTAGGCGAGGTTAAAACTTAGTCCGTGTAATTCATCTATATATGCACGTTTTTATATTGGTGTCGTATGTTTGGCTATTCGAGGTTATTTTGGTGGTCATTATATTCTACCCTTACTGATACGGCAGATAGCTTGATAGGTCTCCCCTGGACTTATGGACACAGTAGGGTAAGTTACAAGCTCGGAAATTCATTCTCATTGTAATTCTTTTGATGCCAGCTCCTCCCCAATGGTCTCAGTTTTCAAAGGTAACAACAAGTGCGTGATGCCGATAGTCTTGTGTTGCGACTTGTTCTCTTATGCATGCCTAATCTGTGCCAGTGACTTATTAGTCTTCAACAGGGACTAACGTGTTTCGTCTCACAACAGCCAAACTACTAAATATCTTGTTAGATGAGTCAGAATTTTGGAAGCATAACCGAGTCCACGTCAAAATATACTCGTTAATTCATTATTACAATGCCCGCACATGTATTGTAGTGCGAAAAGAACAAGGTCAAAGTGATAGAGAAACAAATCACACAGGTTTCAAAACTTATAAATAACGATTCTTTGTTGACATTAGTCGTATAAAAAGTTGAAAGTCTCTGGATCTATCATACCTTAACTCTATGACCTGCTGTAAATTCACAAATTTGAACTACCATTTCGTTACATTTTTGACACGGGAGCTTCACGTTATCATAATGTCTCAAAGGGGGATAACAGAACTCCAAGATCGGTTTAGACGGCGAGCATGTAGCTAGTCTTTGCATCTAAATTTGAATTCATTGATTGCATTGGTAATGTTAATGTTAATATGAAAACTATGTTGTCACTTGATGTATACTCGCTGTTTACTAATGTTTCCTTATAGGTAATATTATGCTTTATTTGTAATAACCGACTTTCACAAAGTGAATATAGGAATGTCAACTTCTTACTTTAAAGAGCCTGTACCTCAACGTACGTTGTGTTCGAGTTCATTTTAAGTGAGATGTTGAAATACCGATGGAGCATTGACTAACCCACATGGCAACGTTTTGGATACATACAAGCCTGATTGAACAATAACTGCCGTTTTTCGTCTGTCTTCGAAGTTCCTCATCATCGGTTCTACACTAATATCTAGTTTATTTTACAGCAATTATATCAATCATGCGGTTTAGTCAATAATAATTACCAGTTTTAGGTATAGGGGGGTGGGGTGAAAATACGAGATTAAAAGCCATTAAAACAATTAACTAATAGATGTTAGTAACGAGATATCTAAGTTTTGAAGCAGGGGTAAAAATTAATGTTACTAGGGGGGCACCAACTAGAGGAAGAGCTCTTAAATGTCATAGACCGTTATAGAGGTACTTAGTGATTTCACATAGAGAATTCGGGAGCAACATTCTGTTTTATAACCCATTAACACATTTCAGTAAGCTGCAACTGTTTCCACAGCTAGTCATAGTTCAAGCTAGGTCTGTAGACACAGTAGCCCAACACTAGGGGCAATGCTCTTACCGGTGAGAAGGTATAGTGTAAGATAATTCTTATGTCTTAACTGTACCCCTCTTTGATTTCAGGTTGGCTGCGTGACGTGTATGGATTAGTGTCCCAAGACAATGCTGTGAGCAACCAATTGGAAGAAGCCTACTCTCTGTAATAGAACTGGTTGTAAATATAGCCTTTGATCACGAGTGATGGTTCTTATTCTTACTGGCATGCGACACTTGTATGATCATCCTGGTAACCCGCTCTTTGCTTTCTGTTTTTCAGGTCAGTACTGGACGTATAGCAGTACAGTCTGTTGGATAATTAGTCGTCATTTCCGATTCTTACGTAATTACATCGTCCTGATAACCATCGTAAAAATGTGAGTACATATTCATCAGCTTACCATATCTACACATTTTTATTATATGAGTTGATTCCGAATTTATTTTATTCTCAATCTATTCTGGCTTTTGGTTACGATTAATTTATCTGTATTAAGACAAATAGCGAGTGTTATCAGCAGTTTTGTAATGAACTACCACTCGTCGTTTTCTTCTAATTTAGATTAGGATGATGTTTTGAGCACAATCTATTGCTCATAATTATATCAATATATTCATATATGGCTTCACTGCCTCCAGATATCTACTGCAATTTTCTATATATCTAAATCATTAAAATTAAGCTGTATCTCTTCCAAAAACAACTTGACCATTACAATGCATTCACTTGCATGTAATTATACATTAGGGTAAAAGAGCAACTATAAAATGTAGTAAGCTAACTCTCTAGCCAACAAACTAGCACTGAATAACCTATCAAATTCGTCCCACGAAACATGCATTTATCATGTGGGAAAGTGTATTTAGGGCAAATGTATACTAAATAATGACATCTGAAACCAGTTTCTGTGCACATATTCGTCTAAATGAAATGATTGTGTGTATTATATGTTTTTTGGACCAGCTCATCATGCGTTTTTCAAATTGTGATCAAAATCCTTCGATCGAATTTGTATGGGTCCCAGTGATATATATATTATTGTTTCCTTTAACTACTAGAGGAACATAGGGCTTCAGCCGTGCGTCTCCATTGCGTTCGGTTCTCTGCTAGAGTCTTCACCTGGCTCCAAGTCTGCCCACGCGTTTTCATTTCCTCTTCACATGACCTGTGGAGTGCGTAACAATGTGATTGTACACTTTTTGGTTATTTGTAGAAATTAGACATATTGTACATAATTTTTGTTTAAAACGCTTCTTGTTGAAATACACTTGGCTTCCGTGAACGATTGAAAAGTACACTCTGCTGTTGGAGGCTTCGTCATCTCCTTGGTTTCTTCGGCTTACTAGCTCAGCTCTCACCGTGTTGTATCTTTCGAATTTATTGTAGAAGTCCACTACGCTCAACCGGGACACAGCAGCTACAACCCACTCCGTCCAAACAATTAACGTCTCCGTGGGTTATATAAATAATCTGTAGCAGAGGACTTAAACTTTATTTCCAAGTAACCCTTTTGTTGATATAACGTGTCGTTGCATTTTTGGTAGTATACCGTTACTTAACATTTCATTGACTTGAATTTTATTTCTCATATTTTGTAATACTAGTGAACTCTAACATAAGTCCCCTACAGACCTCCTCCAAGTCACCCTTGCACTGACGACCAACTCGCCGCTTCCCTTTCGCGTTCCACTCGAGCAATGGCTTGTCTAGTGATGTCACTTGATGGTTTCCTCAGAGTATGGCCAGCCAATCCATCTCCATTTCTTCCTGCCTATTTGTTTCACAATCGGTGCCTGGTTGGTTCGCTCATTGCCGGAGATCCCTCTCTGTTGCTGATCTTTTCTGGCCGGCCATCTGATCTTGAGTGGTATTGAGCGAAGACAACTGTTGATGAAGGTCTGTAGTTTGTTTGAGATGCTCTTTATGACGCGCAGTGCAAGTCTCTGATCCGTACAGTCAGTAGCAGTGACTTCACACTGGAGTTGAAAATCCGGATCTTATTTTTGATGCTGAGTGCTGTTGACCTACACACAGACTTGAGAGTAGTGAAAGCTTGTCTTGCTTTTCCGATTCTTGCTTTGATATCCTCGTCAGTTCCATTCGCCTGTAGTTGAAACGGTGCTTCCAGGTCGGTAGGTAAAAGAGGTTGTTTCTTTCAGGTTCCTCCCATTTATGCTGATCGTTGTCTGTTGTTGTTGTTCTTGTCCAGGAATCTTGATTACCTCTGTTTTCTCTATGTTCACCTGAATGGTGTCCTATCTTCTCTGGATGCTTCTTCTGCCAACTTGTTGCTTTTCGCTTGCATATCTTCCAGTTTGTGGGAAATCAGACATATATATGTCATCGGTGAAGTCCAGATGCTCCAAGTTCTCTTTTTGTGTGAGTCCACTTTATGCCTGTTTCCTCATTGCCCGCTGTTTGTCGCATTATCCAATCTACTGCAATCAGGAAAATCATTGGCGATAGTAGGCAGCCAGCTTGTCTTACTCCTGTCCTTACTTCGAAGGATTCCGTAAGTTTCCCGTTGTGGATTACTTGGCATGCAGCATTGTCGTTCAGCTGTTGGATGAGATCTATAATTGTCGGTGGGACCCCATAGTAGCGAAGTAGTTGCCAAAGCACCTCTCGATCGACGATGTCGAAGGCCGTTATATATATACATATAATCACTCCGTAAGAATATGACTCATGCATCTTTTATTCACTTAGAATTTATTGAATTGTTTATGATTGCTCTTCTACGTTTCATTTAATTTACTACAAGTGATATTTAGCTTTATTTCGAGAACTCTTATTTTGAATGAGTCATACATCCATTGTGATCCAGCCTAACACGAATGCATGTTATCACATAGTTGGAGGCTATAAGAAGGAAGCTTTGCTTGACCTAGTTTTAATATTTGTTGGTACTCACTAATGAACAAGGCATATGTATCTGCAATCTTGAAGGAACTCATATCCCTCCTGAGATGTGTCATTTCTGGGGATCTAATTTTTTCTGAGAAGAATAATTCCCTTTTATTTCGCGATTGTAAACTTTTAACTTGCACATCTGTAAGTTTCTTGAAGGCCGAAATTACCATCTTACTATAGAAGCTTTAATTAAACGTTTACAGTATTATATACTGCTACGATTATACTCTTGGGTTCCTAGTGGAACTATAAGATGGTTTCAGCAAAGCATCTCCACTTTGTTCTTTTTTTTCTGCTGTCGTGTTTATCTGGGTCGACGGTTGCCTATAGTCTCTCATCTCCTCCTCTCACAGTCCCCGTCATATCAATCCAGTGCATCTCTTAGTCTGTCCAAGATGTCACGACTTAGTATTTTACTTGGCGTGGACAAGAGCATTATTCCACGCCAGTCAGTTCTTGCGGATCCATATGTCAGCCTTCTTTGGCAGCTTGACGTGGTAGCCAGCCTTTCTTCCAATCGTTGGTTACCTTCCCTTCCCTCCTTCAAAACCTTGTGCAGTAATGGCGTGAGCACATCTACTGCAGTCTCTGGATCCGTTTTCAGTGCTCTGGAGTGTGTGTGTGTGTGTGGGGGGGTGATTCCATCTGGTCTTGCTGCCTTTTCGGACTTCAGTAGCTTGATCGCATTCAGAGTTTCAGCTTTCGTTGGAGGATTGGTGTCCATTGACAAGCATTTCCGTGAGTACTGTTAGTGGTATATCTAGTGGAGTTTCAGGTGATGGTCGATTCAAGAGTCCTTTGAAGTCATCAACCCATTGTTTTATTTGTTTCTCCTCCTTGGTAATCAGGTTCCCTTGACCATCTTCTAGTGGTTTCATCATCTGGCTTGATCTCTTTCCAGATAGATACGTGGTTATGTGATATTATGTCCTGAGATCTCTATTGCCTGCGGTTTGTTATGCTTCTGTTGCCAGTGTGTCGTAGATTTGTCTTTTGTCTCTCCTAGCACTCTTCATTACTGCTTTATTCAGTGCAGTGTACATTGAACTCAACTTCTCCTTCTGTTGTGCATCTTTGCATTGAGTCATCTCTTTCACCATACTTCTCTCTTCTATTAGCTTCCATGTATCCGTTGAGAGCCATTCCTTGTCTTGTTTCTTCTTTCTTCCTAGAACAGTTGTACACGTCCTTGAATATTGCCTTCAGAGAGTTCCGATGCTCTTGCACGCAGGTGTCCTCAGTAATGCCACATAGTGTCTCCGACTTTGCTCCGATCTGATCTGATCTGTAGCATAGGCATCCCTTGTACTTTTGTCCTTCAGTTTGTGAATGTTGGACTTGAATTGTGTCCTGTCTCCAGTTGTCCTTAAGGATTTCAGCTTCACATTGAGTAGCATTGAGATGAAATCTATCTAGTTCGTGGTATGCCCATCAGGCGAAATCCATGTTGCTTTGTGTATATCCTTGAGTTTGTACACGCTTCCTCCGACCACGAAATCATTGAAAGCACAGAATTCTGCAAATAATTCTCCTTTCTTTTTCATTTCTCCGAGGGCCTCACGACCCATGATGAGTTCTCTTCTTGTACTATCTGCTCCCAGTTTGGCGTTCATATCGCCCATGAGGATTCTCTATGGCTCTGAAACATGGCCAATACGAGTTGAAGACATGAAAAGGTTGTCTGTTTTTGACCACAGATGTTTACGATCTCTTTCTCGCGTTAGGTGGTATAATAAGGTAAGTAATGTTGACGTTAGGCGTAGTGTTGGGCAAAGAGGGAAAATCATTCGAAGAGGCTATCAAGTTACATAGATTGATATGGCTAGGTCATGTGCTGCGCATGCCTAACCATCGCCTCCCCCGACGGACGGGCATTACTAGCTGATATAGGTGCAGGTTGGAAAAGAGTAAGTGGTGGTCAAACAAAAACATGGCCTCATCAATCCATGAAATCCCTGACAGTTAAACTGAGTCAGGTAGGGAGATGCAGACTTCCGGGTTGGGGCCCGCCCTCGGGACTCTAAGAATCAATGGCTGGAGACAGACAATAGGTGACATGGCTGAAAATCGTTGTCAATGGCTTACGCAGATGTATTCAGTCTGTGTAATCTTTCATATTCCTTTCTACCATTACTCATTGTGTTTCACTCTTATACTTGTCAAAACTCTATTGATTCTCTTCACTCATTTTCCTGTCTACGTTTGTGTGCTATTTGGAACGTGGCAACTCGAATTGTTGCACGTCGGTGCCAAGTTCTATGTTGAATCCAGCCAGCCAGCCAGCGAGCCATGAGGATTCTGATGTCACCATTCGAAATGTTGTCCATTACTGTTTGTAGTTGTCTGTAAAAATCTTCCTTTTTGTCTTGTTCCGCGTTGTTCTTAGCACTGTGCGTAGCATTGGACAATTGTGACTTCCTTCCTTCCTTCCTTTTGAGTTGAATCATGCTGTCAGGATCAGGCGGGATGATTTTGGTTCCCACTGCATTAGGTATTTGGTTGGCACTGTTGACATCATGATGGCCACTCATTGCCTCATTGTGCTCATGGTTGTCGTCTGGGTGACCAGACCGTAGTAGATTACTGACTGTCCAGTTGACAATTTTGACAATCCACATCCATATGGGCATCACCTCACTGGTGTTATATCCCTGTTCCCCAGGAGTAGGAGTTTGCCCACACACCTCCAGCGTAGTGTAAAAACGAAATGCTTACACTTTGCCGGTAACTGCTTTTAGTCAAATCGCTCGCTATCCTAACAACCTTCCTGGCATGATAGGACGTGCAGGAAGAATAGTTCCAGTGTAGCCTGTTGGTTCGTTGCGATACGCAGGCAGGCTCGACCACCACGTCAAGGTAGCAGCCCAACCCTCCCTTTTTACCCGGGCTTGGGACCGGCTAGAGAACTAGCAAGCTAGTTAACTAGGCAAGGTTAAGAAGCCTGATGATAAATGTGATTCTTTGTTGCTTATCTATCAACTAAAGCTGAAATATAGATCCTTAGGCGTTTGGAATCCGCTAAAGTTATTATACAATGCTTGTTGGTATAAATATAATATATATGATAGCTGTTTGTGAATATTGATTTATTTTGCGAATATGAATGCTCCTGTTAATCAGTCTACTGACAGTGAATATTTCCCAGTTGTGATATCTAAACCTAGACAGTATGACAGAGTAATAATCTGAATTGGGTCGGGTTCCAATAGCTTAACAACCGTCTACGAGCTCTTCTCGCAACCAGAAGGTCCTGGGTTCGAATGTCGGTTGTTGGGTGAGTATGGATGGATAAACAGTCCCAGACTGGGACAAAACAGCTGTTCATTACTGTGTCAGGTCTTCCAATAGTTCTGTAACTGATGTCAGCTCGTGATCAGTTTTGTACTGAATATAGTAATACTACAATGTATTGTTTACTATCATGGAAAAATGCATATAGTGGGTAATATGTGGTGGTGGTAGGCTTATGCTAAAAACTTTGTGATCCATTATATGAAAACTATGATATAATTGTAAAGACTCAAATGTTTCTGCACACAGAGTCTATCAAACAGTATTGTACTATTAATGTGAGTTATTTGCAGTAAATAAAGTAAACGCTAAGAATATGGGTTGTGTATTACTTGTCGTAGCCTCAGTAGTGAAAGTTCCAGGGCCTTTCACATTTAGATTTAAAGGGTTGCTGTTTTTCACCCTCAAAATAATTTTACTTTTTTTTTTGTGTGTGTGTGGAATCTTTCAGATGAGTAATCTGCAATTCGCTTGCAATGTCTGCAATGTGCGGTGTGATACTGAAAATGTTCTCAGATTACATGAACAAGGCAAAAAGCATCGTTTAAAATGCCTTAGTTTGCAAAAATCTAACTCAGTCAGTCATATTCACCAACCACTGAAAGTTTCACTACCAGTACTTACCACACCTGAATCGTCTCCCAAAGATCTATCTTGGGATATGTGTAAGCCATCTTCAAGAGCACTGAAAAATTCAACTCCTGATCATGAATCACCTGTAAACATGGTTTCTATTGATTCGAACTCAAAATATTTTAATGCAGATATGAAGCAAAAGTTTTTGTTACCTGATGGCAGTCTCTTTTGTTCTTCGTGTGATGTAAAAATGAATTCTTGGGAGCAATTAGCCGCTCATATTGGTGGACGTAAACACCAAAGTAAATCAAATGTCAACACAATAGACAGCAAAAATTTGGAAACCACAAACGTATGTGTTATACTACTTTAAAAAAAATTTTTATATACCCTCCTTATATGTGTTATGCTGACACTTTCAAACAATGGTCACTGTTATGCTAAAAGAAATACTTTTACGGCATAGGGTTGCTAACCTCGCACCCAACCTTCGGTCTTTTCCAGCCTTAGTACCGGTCTAGTGAGGTTTAGGAGTACGTCGGCTGAGGATCGAATCCCGGACCACATGTGTGGTTGGCGAGTGTACCGCACAGCAGTCCACTCCCTCCTTCTTTATGACTGTGAGTGAGACATGGCCATTGAGAGTGGGAGACATTAAAAATCCGGCTAGCCAGCTGTCTTTGATCGTAGGTACCTGCCTTCTATCTCCCGTGGGAAGTGGTAGGTGTAATAGGGTGAGCAATATTGAGGTGAGTTGTCGGTCGAGTGCTAGTTGGGTTGGTAGGTAGTTAGGTAGGTAGGTGGGAGGGAAATCAATCGATGAGGTTGTGAAGTTACACCGATTGAGATGGTTAGGACATGTGTTAGGCGTGCATTGCTAGCCATCGCCTTCCTCGACCGACGGACAATGTGAGTTGAAATAGGATGGATCAGGCTGGAAAATAGTTAGTCAGCCAGTCTGTCAGTCACGTAGAGAAATGTAGACTGCTTGGCTGGTTGGGGTTCTCGGGACAGTAGAAACCAATGAAGACTTGAGACAATTGGTGATATGACTCAAAATCGTTCTCACTCAATGGCTGACACAGATGCATCTACTCCCTGTGACTTATAATACCCAATAGAACTATATGGTTCTTACATCTTACTATTGTTTTTGCCTCACATCTCTGTTTACTATCTCTATTTTGCATTTGTTTTTACTTTCTTCTCTTGCTTTGTGTGCTAATTGGGGGGGGGGGGAGTGTGGTGACTCGAACTGCTGCACATCGGTGAAAAGTTCTATGTTGAAATCAGTCAGTCAGTGAACGAAACATCTTTCTGTAGAAATTATTTGCTTTGTGTGAACTACAGTCTGTCAGGATGTGTATGTGGATGTTATAAAAACATATCGATGAGTAGTGTAATCTTTCCTTCTGTGCTCTGATGGAGCAGCACACATACAAGTAAGTATCCCCTGAGATCCAGTCAAGTAGGGATTTCTCTACCCTATCTTCCAATGCCTATCACTACATATGTAAGTCATCATGTGAATGAAGTAACCAAAGAATGTCCTGATAGGTGTTTAGTGAAATTTTCCAGATTCATTCTATTCGCCAGGTGGGATTAAATAATGAATAATGAATAAACACACTTGGTGGGATTTGCAAGGATACTTAGTACTTTCTGACTGTCTGGTAGTGTTGTAGCTCGTTGGATAATTGACTGTGCAAGTGCGATCACCACTTCATGGTAGCAGCTATGTCGATCGGGAAATAACTTTCGAAGAACGAAAAGATGCTGAGGGATTGCTGTAATAAAATGTGACATTTTAGATATAGTTTCTATAAGTCATATGAGTGCGTTATAAATATATATATATCCTTGTAACCTAGATTACACACTTGTTAGTAACTACTATCATGTGTCCAGCTAGTCCTCGGTGTCGGTGCAGGCTGAATTCTGTCAGCCTGTCAATTTCGCAATGTGGCTCAGCATCTCACGGTGCCCTGTGAATTTTTAATATTAGATGGTTGGAGGCGATCGACCACAGGAAGCCTCTCTTCATCTAAGTTTCGTATTTGTTCGCATTCACCAGTCAGCAAGGCGTGTGTGCAATCTTGAAAGAACTCATGTCCCTTCTGAGATGCAAACCCGTCTCACCCTGTACTGAAGTCAGAGACGTTACCACTGAGGCACCTAGCATGGTGGTGGCCGCATAGCAAACTTGACTGACAATAGAATTCAGTCTGCACCAAAACAAAGGACTAGACACATTGATATTAGTCAATGACTAGTGTGTCTAATCAAAGTGTCCAATACAATCCCACAGGAGGTCAATCGTGGGCCCGAATACCTCAGTGGTAATGTCTCTGACTGCAGATCTAACTGGGTGACGCGGGTGCGAATCTCAGGAGGGACCTTGCTCACCGGTGAGAGTACCAACAATCACGAAACTTAGGTCATTTAGAAAACAGAAAGATTGAGCGAAGAAATATTTACTTTTCAATTAGATCCTCATCTCTGGCTCTACTCTAACACACATATGTAGCATTTTTATTACAATGCACAACAGTTTACCAATCAAGTGGCACTGATATGTATGTTTGTCAACAATAATTAGTCAGTGTCAAAATGTCGATGGAGTAACAATTAACGAAGAAAATTAATACACACAATTATGATGTTCGGAAAAAGGATGATGAACCTGTCTAAATTGTACGCCAGATATAGCTGGCTCCGCAGCTGCAGTCGAACTGGTAGATACACATAGAAGAGGCAAATGTAGATAGTTTATTCTTATTTCTAGAACGTAGAATACGGGTGATAGTGAAGAGACAACGTACCTCTGCTGCATAATAAGCTCTCTTAACTGCATTTCTATTTAAATAATAACCCAGCGCCTGAAGAATGCAGTTAAAAGAGCTTATTATGCAGCAGAGGTATGTTGTCTCTTCACTATCACCCGTATTTTATGTTCTAGAAATAATTATTAACTATCTAAATTTGCCTCTTCTATGTGTATCTACCAGTTTGACTGCAGCTGCGGAGCCAGCTATATCTGGCGTACAATTTAGGCAGGTTCATCATCCTTTTTCCGAACATCATAATTGTATGTATTAATTTTCTTCGTTAATTGTTACTCCATCGACATTTTGACACTGACTAATTATTGTTGACAAACATACATATCAGTGCCACTTGATTGGTAAACTGTTGTGCATTGTAATAAAAATGCTACATATGTGTGTTAGAGTAGAGCCAGAGATGAGGATCTAATTGAAAAGTAAATATTTCTTCGCTCAATCTTTCTGTTTTCTAAATGTCTAAATGAGGATTTTTTTGTCTATATTGAAGCTTAGGTCAAGCAAGCAAGGCTTCCTCTGGCCGGATTGCCCCCAACCATCTTATAATATGCTCTGTAGGTTCTCTGTTCACAGTATAACTCAGTTTATTTTCAAACTAGAAATACAAAATCAATTTGCCTTAGTTAACGTGTAGGAATTGAAATTTGTTGAGTGAAGTGATTGTTTTTTCTCTCTGTTTGATATAGTTAATTATAAAGTAGTTCATATGTGGATACGGTTGGTGTGAAATTTGCAAAGTTTTTCGAATCACTTTTGATTTATATCTTCATCATCCCATGTGAATCCTTATTTCACTGTTTCAGTCTAAATAAAGCATTTCTCTCTCAATGTGGTCACGATGCTTTTACCCCACTTGTTAAACAGTTTTTTTTATCCCTTTTTAGACATTACTGGATGGCGATGATTCAAAGAGTATTTTCTATCGATGTGAAGATTGTGAAGCGATAGTATTTCGTTCAGCGATGCAAGAACATTTAAACTCTGAAGAGCATAAATTGGGAACTGCCAAAATCCATGGAAGCTCAGTAATAGGTTTCGATTATATCCTTCCACTACGGGAATATCGTCGCTCGTGTCAAGAAGTTTTGTGTCCTGTATGGCCTTCAGTGAAATTTACTGATGCGGAGGTAAGCTAATACTTGAGTGATATGTCTGTTCAATATAATACAGAAAATTCATCTGGTCATTATTATTATTATCATTATTAGTATATATTATTGTTCCCTTGGGTTCCGAGTGGAACACATAGGGCTTCAGCAACACGTCTCCATTTTGCCCTCTTCTCTGTGATCCTCTTTAGCTGGCCTCGTGGTCGCCCATATTCTGTCATTTCATCCATGTCACTCGTCGTTTCCCATTCGGTTTCCACTCCAGGGATGGCTCTGGAGTCTGTCTGTCTGTCTGTTTTCGACATAGAACTTTGCACCGATGTGCAGTAGTTGAAGTCACCACACTCCATGTAGCACACAAAGCAAGAGAAGAAAGTAGAAGAAATGCCCAATATAGACAGTAAACAGAGGTGTGAGACAAAGGAATAGTAGTAACGGAGAGCAAAACAGTTTCATTGGAAATCATAAGTCACAAGAAGTGGATGCATCTGTGCCATCCATTGAGAACGATTTTGAGCCATGTCACCAATTGTTTCCAACCATTGGATTTTACTGTCCCGAAGACCCCAACCAGGAAATCTACACCTTCCTACGTGGCCTAGACTAACTGTTGTAGATTTCATTGACTAGTGCCATGTTTTGGTTTGACCGCCGCTAGCTCTTTTCCAGCCTGACCCTATATTATCAGCTAACATTGCCTATCGGTCGAGGAAGGCGATGCATATTCTAAGTCAACGAGATTATTCCTTGGTAACAAGTCAATCCCTGAGTCTTTGAAGTGAGTTAGGGTTAAATCCATTAGTACATCTATGATGAAATTGCATAGAAATAGGGATAATGGGCATCCCTGACAGACACCACTAGTCGTCGTGGCCCTGGAGAGTGCCATATCACTCAACGGGGTCAACTCAGTATGTTTCCCATACATCTCCATTTGTTGAACAGTAGAATCTTGATTGGTTCGTTCAGAGAGTTTCTTGTTCCTAATTCTTTCTGGCGTACCATTTGATCTTGAATATATGGAGCCAGCGAAGGCAGCTTTTGATAAAAGTCTTCAGTGACTGACCTGTTGGAAATAGCTTTTTTTTCTTGACCCATATAGAGGAACTGACTGATCTCTGACTGTGTCTCTCCTGGTCACGATCAAATTTACAAAATTTTTATTTCTGAATATTACCTACCTGTGACAGGTAGAGATCGAATCTGTATCTATCATGTGCAAGTCAGCAGATATTATTAGGTGGACTTCAGAAGGTAGTCCGGGATAAGCATCAATATTACAAATTGTGGAACAGTTTTGACCGCCTGTTTATTTATTTACAAATCAATTTCTCACCTGTCTGATGATTTGATCTAAGATTCAGTGAAACTCTCAGATGTGTAGCAACTTTAGCAGTGTGATAAAAATCAAATGAAATGAGTATATAGATCACAAGGGACCGTGCATTGGATACAAAAATTAAACAGTTCATCACTGGGTAGTGTAATTATAATATATGTAATTTAGGCTTAATGGATTATAAACCCCGTAATAACAGACAGTACTTAAATGGACATATTTATTGATTAGCTTGAGCTGTTTGAAGTAGCAGTAGCAGTAGTTGCAGTTTGGTGACAATGTGTAATTACGCAACAACCTTCAAAAACGAAAACCTTTAAAATTTGTTTGAGCAAATAAAACCAAGTAAACTTCAAAAGTTGATCAGTCACATTTGCATTTAGAAAGTCAGTTGTGTACAAAAGTCAAAATGTATTGATGGTGTGATCGACTGACTGACTGACTGACTGACTAGTTTCAACATTGAACTTTGCACCGAAGTATAACAGTTCGAGTTGCCACACTTCATGTAACTACTATACAAAGGAAAAAAAGACAGATTCAAAATAACTATAATAAGCAGAACGATCTCAAGAGAATCCTCGTCGAGAATTGTTATCCAGAACGATTTATTGCAAAATCTATGAATCCTAGACCACAAAAGCCGCCCATGGTTAGCGTCCCGAAAAAACTACTCTACATGAATCTTCAATTCAATGAAGATATATCTGCGGAAACACTGAAAAATCGACTGTCGCACTCACTTAAGAAGACCCTCTTCGCAAGTGAACTACGACTAATCTTCGCGACAAAACCTATGATTCATGTGAACGTGAAGGATAAGCTACCACTGCTGGCCTCATCGATGTGTATCTACCAATTCACCTGCTCGTGTGGAGCCAGGTATGTCGGCCGTACCCAGCGTTCACTTTCCAAACGTATCACCGAACACTAACCGACATGGCTTTACAAAGCAAAGAAACGATGCTCTCCAGCTCCATCTTAGAACATCTGATAGATTCCGGACACCAAGCTACACCCCAAACAAACTTCAAAGTCGTCTACAGAATACGAAGTAGTCTTCCTAAAGGTGTACGAATCAGACTTCTTCAAACTGCAGAAGCAATGGCGATTCACTTGCTAAGTCCTGAACTCTGCATACAGAAGAAGTTCGTTCAATCACTACACTTGCAATGGACTTAATCTATCTTATTACCCGACAAGTAAATTCTACCTAATATTTTTTCTTCTTTCTTTCTCTTCATTAGTATTATTTTGTCTTCTCAACTGTAATATTTTACATTTTCAACCTTCTTGTTCTCTACCCCCACCCCACCCGATTGAATTTCTACACCTCACTACCACTATTACTGACTTGACCAACGCTCAATTTCTAGTCATTTATGTTACATCATCCAACTTATTTGCTCAATTTCACTTCTAATATAAATGGCATTATTCTCTACCCCACTTCTACTTAGTCTCAACCTGTAATTACTTACCTCAGTTGCTATCCTAACCTGAATTGAAACATTTTAGTCAATTATATTGCGTGATCTAACTAACTTACTAACTCAATGTTACTTTAGTTGCTGTCTGTCTAATTAACCTTGTTTCTATACTAGATCAGTCTTGTATTATCTAAACTTGACAAACCACATGTACACACATACACAAATAATTAATTATATATAAATGCGATTGTACAGATATGTGAATGAATTCGCCGGCGAAAAGAGTCTCTTCGCTGAACGTCTTCTCTTTTTCATATCACCAATTGTCTCATGCCTTCATTGGTTTCTAAGGTCCCGAGAGCCCCAACCAGCCAACCAGTGTACACTTCTCAATGTGACTGATTGACTGGCTGGCTGGCACAAACTAACTGTTGTGGATGGATTTCACTGACTGACGAAGCCATGTTGGCTAGTTTTGGTTTGACCACCACTGACTGACTGACTGGCTGGTTAACTATTTTCCAACCTGATCCATCCTATTTCAGCTAACATTGTCCGTTGGTCGAGGAAGGCGATGGCTAGCAATGCATGCCTAACACATGTCCTAACCATCTCAATCGGTGTTACTTCACAACCTCATCGATTGATTTCCCTCCCACCTACCTACCTAACTACCTACCAACCCAACTAGCACTCGACCGACACCTCACCTCAATATTGCTCACCCTATTACACCTACCAGCTTACACAGGAGATAGAAATCGGGTACCTACGATCAAAGACATCTGGCTAGCCGGATTTTTGATGTCTTCCACTCTACACCAACTCAATAGGACTTCCTCTGACTCCCAGACGCTGTCTAATACCTTAGTTAACGCTAACAGTAGACGTTCTCCGCTATCCTTAAACACCTATGGACTCATTCCAGAAGGTCTCTGTGCTTTGCTTCGTTTCAGACTAGTAACAGCTTTTGTAGCCTCAGTTAAGGCCGGAGGACTTGTGTATATATCCCATTCAGGGAGGTAGGTATTGGATGCTGAGTAAGTTGAGCATGGCTGTAGGCTGATTAAATTTCTCCTCAAAGTTTTCTTTCCAGTGTTTCAGGCGTCTATGGTAAGAGCTAATTATGATGCCATTTTCCTCACAGATTGTTTCACTTATCATTCGCCTTCCACCATCTGTTTCCCTGATAAGTCTAAGTAGTTGTCTGATGTTACCAATCGTCGATGCCTTCTCCATCTCTTTCACTTTTGTCACCCCCCCCACCACCACAGTTCCCGGTCGTTGCGAAAACTTCTTGTTAGTTTTTGTTTGAGCAGCTTTTGCTCCTCATCATCATTATTGGAGCTCGCCGGAATCAGTCGTCTTGCGTCAATCAGTTCGGATGAGGCAGTAGAAATGCGAAGAACTTCGAGTGACATTATGCGCCACACTATCCTTCTAGTGTAACTTCAGTGAATAGGACAACGTGGAGGTTTTCTGTTAAAGCCCTGTTTGCCGCTAGGAATTCAAAGTGGTTAATAATAGTAAAATCTGAGTAAGTATTAGAAGGAGTAAAAAAATACTGTGATATTCATAACTCGGAGTTGAACTTCGCTTACATATAAAAGCTCCATATGTTATTCTCTCAATGTCATCATCTTCAGCGCTGATTGGATATGTTGTCTAGCAGGACAATGAAAGCTGTGCAATTAAATCAGCCAGTTCAGAGAACACAACTAAATGTGAAAATCATTCACCTAAGCTATAAATATTCTCCATTATAGATAGTAACTACTAGTTTTAAATCTTTTAAATTGTCAGGCTAACCTTTTATTGGAAGCAGCGAAGAATGATGATGATTGCATTTTACTCTTGTCATCATGTGATGGTCGATCACGTGTTGGCTTACATTTAGCCAATGCCCTGTTGATCGCTAATCGGAATTTCCCTCCGTCCAATAATTTTGGTAGTTCATTGAAACCGAGTACTAGTACTACTCCGACTGATATTACGTGTGTGCTATGGATTGCACCTGAGACACCAATGACTACAGCTACAAATCGTTCTCATTCTACGTTCACATTTCAGTGAGTAAATTCATTTTACTGGTTATATATATATTTGTATACTTTTTATATTGGTAACATTCTCGTATATCATATACCTTCTGCAATTATATTTACTGGTCTGTACTGATTCATCTTTAAAAATTTGTTCACTTGTTATTATTATTATTCGCTGGGTTCCGCGTGGAACACAGGGCTTCAACAACGCATCTCCACTTCGTTCCTTTTTTCTGCTGTCGTCTTTATCTAGGTCCACGATTGCCTAAAGTCTCTCATCTCCTCCTCTCACAATCCCCGTCATATCAATCTCGGCCGCCCAACTCATCGTTTCCCATTCGGGTTCTACTCGAGCGATGGCCTGCATTGTGCGCCATATCATTCTGCAGTCTCCTCAATGTGTGTCCGGTCCATCTCCATTTTCTTCGGAATATTTGTTGATCAATAAATTGCTGGATAACTCGTTCCAAGAGTTTCTTGTTGCTAATTTTTCCTGGCCTGTCTTTGGTCTTCAACATTGAGTGAAGGTAGTTGTTGATAAAAGTCTTCAATGGCCTCTAGGGTATGTTTTTCGTGACGCTCCAAGTCTCAGACTCATATATTATAGGGAATGGCTGACTAGCTGACTTAACATTGGCGTTAAAATTCCTAATTTTGTTGTGTATGCTGCGGAGTGCAGAAGGTTGTCGAGCTGATTTCAAAGTGATGAGAGTCTGTCCCACCTTCCCCATTGCGGTTTTGACATTCTCATTCGTGGTGTCGCCTGTAGTTGAAAGTATGCCTCTCAGATAAGTGAAAGATGTGACCTCTTTCAAACTTCTCCGGTCGACGTTGATTGGTGGGTTGGTTGGTTGGTTGGTTATCTTCATCACCTCCATCTTCTCTATGTTACGGTGGAGTTCTGTCTTCTATGGCCGCTTCTTCATTCAGTTTGTTGGTTTTCGCCTGCCTGCAAGTCTTCAAGTTTGTGTGACACTAGACATATATCATCCGCGCGTATAATCCAGATCTTCTAGAGTCTCCTCATCGGTGATCGAGCGTGCTCCTGTCTCCTCGCTCCCTGTGCACAGTCTGACGCATAATCCAGTCCACCACAATTAGGAACATTATCCGTGGTGATAATAGACAGTCAGCTTGTCCTACTCCTGTGTTCGTGTGGCGACTTGAACTGCCGCACATATGTGCAAAGTTCTATGTCAAAAACCGAACGACCGACCGACTCCTGTGTTCATTTCGAACGCCTCACTGTGTTTTCTGTTGTGGATCTCCTGACACGTGACATTGTCATATAGCCAGCCAGCCAGCCAGCTGTTGAATGAGGTTGATAAAGATTTGGGTACTGCCCGCCGTAGTGTTGCAGTAGTTTCCAAATTACTTCTTGGTCAATGGTGCACTGTCGAAGGCCTTCTTGAAGTCGATTAAAGAAGTTGAGGTAGAGTGAGGTTTGACTGCGATTCTATGCTTTGTTCGACTATGTTGAGTAGAGCTGCACTTTGATGAGCATATGATTCGACGACATCATCATGTAAGTAATTCTTAGGTTAGACAGTGTGTGTTTGGACACATTGGAAGGCACTATTCACTGAGTGTCGTCATCTGGAAACACCGGCTTCAGTTTTTTGGACATATACTACAAATGTCATCCCAGTGGCTTCCATACAAATCTCTGTTTGCCTAGCCCTAGGACGGGATGGATAAAGCGGAAAGGTTGTTGGTCGGTCAGTGCATGACGTGGCGTTGTGGGATGAAGGATATTTGTGGTAGGTTAGCTTTGGTTGATAAATCACGACTCCCTGGTTGGGATCCGAAAGATAGCTTGAAACATTATCGGATGTGGCCAAGAATGACAATCAGTGGCGAATGTGCTGCAGTTATCCTTTTTTCTTCCCCTTGTGACAATAATTCGACGAATGCTGTTTCATCTTGATAAATAAAACAGCTTCCTTCCCAGATGGAGTTCTGTATTCATTCTCTGCCCATTTTGTTCACGAGTTGTTTTGTCATTATTGTTGTATAGTACATCGTTTTGGTGCCTATTTTGTACCAAGCTTTGTGTTTTTAATTAAACTTTTTTTTGTTCATATGCCTTGTAGGCCGGGTGGTGAGAAAAGTTCAACTGGGCGTCCATTGATTTTTGCATATCCACCGTTCGATCCGTCAGTCCTATCAGAAACTGATATCGTGAGAACAAATTCAGGCAAGTTTTTTCTCTTTTGATGGTATTGTATTCAGGTAGAATATCTATCGGTCTATCGTCAGACTTGTTATTTTTGTTCTCTAGAGTTAAGTGCGGCGAACTCAGCTAACCAAGTCGTTCAGTTTTTAAATGTAATCTGATTTTGTTTCGTATGTATATATTGGTTGGAGAATTTCATCATGAGCTGAGATCAGTTAGAGAACCATCGGAAAAGAAGCTGGGTGTACTGGACAGCTGTTTCGTCAGCCTGGTTCGGGACTCTTCATCAGTACGCACCCACCGACAGGGTTCGAACCAATGACCTTCTTTTTACAAGACAAGCGAGCTCGTGGAACATTGAGCCACTGGGACGTAATCCAATGACCAGTTCATGATATCTAACTTCTCCCAATTGATGATATAGAGTGACCATTTCGCAATGTCCTCTTCGATGAGTAACTGTCCTCACCTTGAACCTGCTGTATATGATAGAAGTAAACTTGGTTCGCCATATTTTTTTCTATAATAGTAATTTAAACAGAACAATAAGAAGACGTAATGTTTCTGCTTTGTTCGGTACAGTAGAGCCCTAGTAAGTGAGGTGCCTCTTCAGTAGAATCCAAAGAATACCGGCCGAAGACACATTTGATGAGGAAGAAAGAAAGTTGACACAAACTCTGGTTAATAGTAATTATCCCAATGAATGAAAAACAAAACGATATTGCTGTATATAAGCTGAGATTTTGTAGTGAATTCTGGTTTAATAATATTTTGATAAAGCTATTAGCAGCATTCAACAGTGAAACGCCAGTAAAAACAACAATATCGTTTTATTTTTCATTCATTCATTGGGAAATACGAAAACGTTATAATTCATAGTTCGAATGCCTATCACGTTAGTTGTGTGAACAAGAGTAATGCGAAGTCCATTGGAAAGATTCGGTTGGATGCGACAAATCACCACTTTGAAAACTTTCGTTTTACTTTGTCCACTACGTGACTACTATCAACTAAATGTGACAAAATAGTAGGGCTACGAATTGCTTCTATCTGTCCTTTTGCAAACCATGATGGTAGATGTTCAGTAGTGACACGTTGACTAAGCTGTCTGCTAATACGCCCAACATAACTATGACCACAGGTGCAGCTGAATTGATAAATGCACATAGGTGTGTGGCGAAGCCATCTAGCTATCTATCCTTCGTTTGCGTACCAGTCATTCGTTGGTTAGAGAATGACAATAATAGGTTTACTGCGTAAAAAGTTCGTCATATACTCCTGAAAAGTCTCTGGAATAAAATCTCACTTGACAATCTCAACTTAATAAATGGAGGTATTTTACCTGCAGTCATGGTCTCAGGTTTTCTCTCCAATGTTTTATATGTTCCTTTATGAAACTAATCGGATATCCATCCGATCTCCGTCAGTGAATCATGGATGTATTCGGATTCCGCTTGCAAGCGGTCATCCGTACATATCTTTCTTGCTCTGCTAATCAGACAACAATTCTTTTATGTTTAATAGGCACGTATCTATGAAAGTGTGAGTACTGCCCTGTGAATGTGCTTTTTCTATACACTCTTCTCCCAAGTAACCCAACTTCTCACCCACTTAGTAAGATGTCCAAAAAATGTAGTTTACTATCCTACTCCTCTACACATTGCTATTAATAAGACTAATTGCACATCTGATATGCACAATCTTACACTGTGATTGGTGTATATTTGAGTTTTTATTTGTAAAATTATGTATATTAGAGTTAATTAGATCTGATGAGATCCAGTTGAAAGCACAATATTATTCACTTGAATGTGTTGTTCTAAAGTGTGAATTGACAAAAGGGTGACACATACTCATGTTGTTTATAGTGAACAGAATGTAATTTTCACTGGGGTGGGGGTGGGAGTGGAGTGTGAGTTATATTCAATGGTGTGCTAGAAAAACAATTTTCTTTTTTATTCCTTGACGTTCCCAGTGGAACATAGGGCTTCAAGCTAGGCTAGGCTTGAAGTTTCTTTAGCAGTGTTTATTTTTACAGGATGGGGTTGCTAGCCTCATGCCGAACCTCCCCTCTTTGCCAGTTCTATCAGTGGCTTAGCGAGGTAAAGGAGTGCGTCGGTGGCCGGGGATCGAACCCCGGACCATGTGCATGGTCGGCGAGCATCCTAACCGCTGTGCCACCGACGCACAATTACCACAAATAAAAATTGGGGGACACTAAATGATGAACTGTTACTCCATATTATACATGTACCCCACTAGAGACAGTTTCCGATATACTTTTCACACGCCCTTAATGGCTATTTGTATTCTTCTAATAGTCATGGATTTATAACTGTAGAGCCTGAATAGGGAAGAATTTATCGAAACCACAATTGTTCGCTCCAAAGCATCTTGTTTCGAATAAACTGTGGAGATTTTATGTCTACTGAAATTTGTTGTTCCTTTTCTAGTTGAAAACTACTCTGTCTACTGCATCAATTGAATTTGATATTCAAGTGTAGTACGCAGTTATGTCCTCATTAGGGGTGGAAAAGTCCTGAACAAGGAGGAAACAGCTTTGCATGGTGAAGTTAGCTGAAATTCTAGTGGCTTGTCGTGTGGACAGATTAGTCATTGACGACGTTGTCTGGCGGTCACGGTCTATCGCAAATTGGCTGAAGTTAGAATTCATGGGCAGTCCACTGGATTCCATCTCGATGGTTACATTTTGCAAACGTGTTCGCTTGGTAATCTGAACATCTTCGGTTGGTTCCATGCTGGTTGTGAAGCAATGGGTGCGTACTGAATGTGAGTGCTGAAGAGTCCCGAAAAAGGACAAAACAGCGCTGACTAGTACTTCTCCTCGGGTTTTTAAAGGATTCTCTAATATATGCGAAGTCTATTTACATATCATTCACATAAATTTATATTCTCTACCATTTATTTTTCTATCCCTTAGGTGGCTTTATAACACATTTAGCCTGGTTACTTATGCAACAGAAGTTTTTATGCGGTATCATTATCGAGGATGTGAAAATCGTATCTAAAGATGTAGAGTTTTGTCAATTGCTCACATGTTTTCTAAAAGTTTACTCTCGTCAGGTTAATCGTGGTCGAGTAAGTTTTTCAAGAACTGTTATTATTATTATTATTGACCAAGTTAAACTTTAAGCACCACTGACTTGACTACCAGTGGAGTGCGACCGCACCAATGACCTTCAAACGCTCACTGAGCAAGTTAGTGAAACCTGGGAAATAACGTTGTCATTATCAAAAAAATATGCTTATTGAAGTGTTATGCAATTAAATGGGACTCCTGGCAAGTTTCAGCTTAGGCTTGAGAAAGATTAAGTTCCTCTTTAAGCCAAGTTAGGGTTAAGCTAACCTAAAGGCGACATTAGGGTTGGTTCGAGTTAGATTACAGTTAGTTCAGGGATATTTTCACGTTAGAGTTATCAGGTTCAGCAAAGATTGGGGTTATTGTTAGGGTTAGAAGACCTAGATAATTACATGCATAGAACGCGGTTAAATTACTCTGTTGATATAAGAATAGAACTTGCGCACTGTGGTGGTCGAGTATAATTCCATTGTTGGTAGCATTTATTTTGATAAGGTTTCACAGTGTTATACAGTAGTAATATTTACTGATGACAACGTTTCGAGCAGAATCTATTGCTCACGAAATATTACTGTGAGACTTTATCAGAATAAATTTTACCCACACTGTGGAATTATACTCTGTTGATACTCCAACCTAAAACTGAGATCTATTTTTATCACATGTGAGTGCAAGGTATCCTCTGAAACACTTTTCTACAGTTTTTTATGCATTATTTCATAAAAATATATGTATTCCATACACAAAAATTCCTCCTTCGCGTGATTGGTGCGTTCGAGGTCATTTGTTGATTAGTAGTTAGTGGTAGTTAAAGTTTAACTTTGCCTTATTATTATTATGATTATTGTATAATTCCTGCTTTAAAACTAGTATTGTAACATCATGAATTGGTTGAAGGACTTATACACACACCAAATTTTCACGTAGAAGAGAGGTTAATCTTTGACCTAAATGTGTGTGAACTTCTGTTGAAATTCTACATTTACATTCACTTTTTTTTCCGTATTAGATAAGTTAATTTTGGAATATCACAGAGTGATTAACAGTATTAACGACTGGATGATGACGTTTCTTGCATGAATTATTGCTACTCATAATAATAATATTATTATTTAGTTACACGGTTTCATACTATGTCTTATATATACACTTTTTCTCTGTCTTTCCCTGTCTCTGTCTGTCCATTTTCCCTTTGTTGTTTGTTGGCACTTTCCATATCTCCGGTATCGTAGGCGGTGTTGCGTCATTCTGAATGCTGCATGTGTTCCATGTTCAATCGATAAACAAGGCTTGAGTGATTAACCTCTCCCCGTCTCCACCTAACTACATTACTGTCTAATATTTCCACCCACCCTATGGTGTGTGATTACATGCAAGTGAATGATGCAATGCAGTGCAGTGCGATGACTTGGCTTTTTTCTAGGTCATTTAACTTCACTGTGGTGTCAATCATTCTGGGCTGACCTACGTTGACCTATTTGACTGACCTCAGAGTCTTTACAGCCTTAGTGAATTATTATAATGATTATTCTTAATTGGATCTATTGGGTCTTCACACCGCACATGTGCAATCAAAATCCTGCAACCGCTTATACCGGAGATATGGAAATTGGCAACAAACAACAAAGGTAGGCAAGTTGGAAAGACAAAAAGAGATAAAATATACATTTAACACAAATTGTGAAACCGTGTGACTGTATTGATACATTGTAACAGCAGAAGGCAAGACACGGAAGCTAAAGTATACTTTCAATTGATCAAACAGCTATTTATGTGTATATATACAGTGCATATTCTTTAACGAATCACTGAGCTTGTGATTTTGGATTACATTAAACGACATGAAATATAATGTTCAAACATATACATTATTCTCTTAATGTCTGTTTTCAATGTAGAACTTTACACCGATGTACAGCAGTTCGAGTCGCCACACTCCCTCCATGTAGCACACAAAGCAAGAGAAGAAAGTAAAAACAAATGCAAAATAGAGATAGTGAACAGAGATGTGAGGCAAAAACAGTAGTAAGATGTAAGAACCATATAGTTCTATTGGGTATTATAAGTCACAGGGAGTAGATGCATCTGTGCCAGCCATTGAGTGAGAACGATTTCGAGTCATATCACCAATTGTCTCAAGTCTTCATTGGTTTCTACTGTCCCGAGAATCCCAACCAGCCAATCAGTCTACAATTCCCTACGTGACTGGCTGGCTGGCTTAAACTAACTGCTGTGGATGGATTTCATTGACTGACGAAGCCATGTTTTCTGGCTTTGGTTTGACCACCACTGATTGGCTGGCTAACTTTTCCAACGTGATCCATACTATTTCAGCTGACATTGCCCGTAGAGGAATTGTTGTTATTGCAATATTGACCTGTGAAAATAGTATTCAAACGTTGGTGTTACACCAGCAAATACAATGATTCTAACTATATGAGAATAATATTCTGTTGGAACCCACTGTCTGTATCACACCACCACCACAATATGATTTTGAGGAATAATTCATGCTCAAAACACGTCATCCATTTGTTAATACTGAATAAAAGGTTTAATGGTGTGAAATGTCTCCACATCATGAATTAAAAGTCAATCTGAACGACGAATATTCTTTTCAATAATTTCTCCTCTTCAGGTTCTCACAATTAGAAAATAGAATATTTGTTGTCGTCACAATAATGATAGCCAGTTATGCAGCGGATACATTTTTTACGTAGAATAACAGATTAGTTTAGGGGGTGACAAAATAAGTAGTAGTATTTGTGTGACAAACGTGCTCTGGGCTGAAATCGATTACAAAATATTTCTGTGAAATGGAACCCAGTGGTGGTGATTAGTAGTGAGTCATAATAGATTCGTAGAATATGGGGTAGGGCGGCGAAAAATTGACACCAACACAACCTTCAAGGTGATATACCGAATTCCGAAGTCGTTATCATGTATAGTTTGCTTACGTCTGCTACACATAGCTGAAGCTGTTGCAATAAGATCGACTACACCGGAACTTTGTATCCAAAAAGAACACATCCAGACGCTGTCCCTACCGTGGTTAAACTTGGATAAATGATTCTTCTTCTCAACAGGAGTGCTTATTCCCCATAGGCCTATTGGTTATTTTCTTTCTTTCTTTGCTTATAATTATTATTCGTCATAAATTTATACCCATCATTTGAACATTCTCTGAATACCATCGAATTTTCCATTTATACTATCCGGACTTATTATTATTATTATTAGTGGTATTATCTCTTTTCTCAATATATGCCTCCACCTGTTCCATTTCACACATTGGTTATGTCATGATGAACTTCTCATTTCAATCTTACTATCTCCTCTTTAATACATACTATATTGTACTAGCCACTCACTCACCTGACACCTTTTATAACCTTGAACTGACTTTTCAATTTCTCCTACCCCACATTCTAAGAATCTATTATGACTCACTACTAATCACCACCACTGTGTCCCATTTCACCGAAATACTTTGTAATTGATTTCAGCCTAGCACGACGTTTGTCACACAAATACGACTATTTATTTTGTCACTCCCTGAGCTAATCTGTTATTCTACGTTAAAAATGTATCCGCTGCATAATTGGCTATCATTATTTTAAAAACAACAAATATTCCATTTTATAACTGTAAGAACCTGAAGAGGAAAAATGATTCAGGAGGATATTCTTCGTTCAGATTGACTTTTATTACTGAATATCACTTTGTGATTTTTCAAATAAACTGGTCTAATATGGAATTAGATTGTACCACAGTGCCCCGAAGTTCTACACACTTATATTAGATAGACTTTTGTAAATCTGATATGGAACGAAATGTTTTCTGATTGGTAGTTGTCAGTACAGTTAGTGTAATTTGCAGAATAGGTGTTTCTTAATTGTCGGATTAGAGGTAATTGATATTGAAACAACTGGTGATTGTTTCAGTGGAACAAACACATAATTGAAGCATAAAATTCAGGGTGAAATTAACAACAGATTATGTATTTCTTAGGTATTTTGTGAATAATGTTATCATGTAGATATTTCGTCGCAAACAAGTAATCAGTTGAAAAATTATCTACCAAATTTAACTGCTCCTGTGGAGCCAGTCAGCCACATAGACCGTACAATTAGACGGGTTTCTCGTCGGATTTCCGAACATCACCCTGCATAGTGGTGGTTAAGTAAAGGACAAACAAAATCTATGTATAGAGCTATTCTATCTCATCTTGTGGATACAGAACAGAAGATTGATGTTAACCAGGTAGGTGGCTTTCAGAGTCATTTACCGCATACCAACAAATCTCAATTTTGCCTAAAGAGTTCGACTGTTGAATATTGCTGAGACTGGCTGTTGGGATCCAGATTAAGAAGCCTAATTTGTGCATCCGAAAGAAGTTAATTCAGACATTAGCCTTACTTTGGCCATCCAGGTTTGAATGATCCTGAATATTTTTGGGTATTTTTCATAATTTCAGTTGATATTCTATTTGCTACTATATCTTTATTATAATTTAAGCATCTTTAATGAACTGTAATTCCATTGTGATCTGACTTACCAAATCGATATTATTTAGAAAAACACTAATATTGTCATTGACTACTATTCTAGAATATCCTATGAATAAAAAAATATGTATAATTGTAGAGCGAGAAGATGAAATTATCGAAAAGAATATTCTTTGTTCAATTATTTTGCGTTTTATGGATGTCTGAAAAATTATGTACACAAACAATTGTAACATACCAGCAATTTCCACATGATCTCAGTTGACAGAGAGGTCAAGTTTTAACAAAAAATCAATGTACGTATACAATGGTACAGTAGTTACGTAATAAAGACAAGAGGTATAAAGCCAGAGATTACGTAATCGAAGGACATCCAGTTACCAGGTGGGCAAGGAAAGACTGATAACTGCTTCTTTGTGAACGCATAAATCGGTTTTCAGGCGTATGATAGAGATTGCTTCAGAAAACTTGAGCAGAATTGAGCTCCTTTGTCTAATGATAATTTATGAATTTGCGATGTCCAACTCTTGACCCCTATCGAGGAGATGTCTGGTAATGGCACTATTGAAAGTGTTTGTTCCCTAGAGTCGTAGACTTTTCGGTACATGTTCAGAAAATCGGAGGTGCTCCTGTCTCTTTGTTCTCCCAGTGTGACTGCTACTGCAGATGCATGTGAATTTGTATATACACAGTTAGCACTGACATGAGGAGAGTATCTGTCGACTTTTGATTGTATCAAGGAACATGTGTTGTCCGATAGACGGGGAACAACTTAGCTGCAGGATGTGTTCTGGCTATTAAGGTACTCGACCTTCTGAGACTATTCTTGTAATATGCTCATCTTTAAAATGGAAATGAATGAAGACAGGCTTTTCTTCTCATTGTGATTTGTTGTACATTTGAGCCTTGATATCTTCCATATTTCCAAGTATTGGTTTGTAGGGATTTGAATGATTGATTGATTGGAGGATTTCATCATGAGCTGACATGAGTTAGACAACCATTGAGAAACTCTGGAGTACTGGACAGGTGTTTCGTCCTAGTTTGGGACTCCTCACAGTACGCACCCACTGCAGGGGGTTCGAACCCAAGACTTTCTGGTTACAAGGCGAGCTCGTAGACCATCAAGCCACTGGGACCTGATCCAATGGCCAGTCCATGAATTCCAACTTCTTCTAATTCACGATATAGCGCAACCTGTAGCCAATGCCTTCGTCGAGTATTTGTTATCACACCCGACCTACTGGTCACGACTTCCCACTAGAATCCCTGTTTAAATAGGACCAGTCGCTACTAAGCATCAGATCAGTTTTCATGTATTAGTGGGTGCGTACTGCCAAGGAGTCCAAAACTAAGGCTTAAAAGCTGTCCACTACTCCCAGGTTTTCCAATAGTTCTCTTATCGATGTAAGCTCATGATGAAATCCTGTAACCATCTTCCATTTATGTTGATAAATCTGTGACGGTAACGGATTTTTTTCAACATCTTACGGAGAATCATAAAATCCTACTCTAATTTCTCTGCAGAGCATTTTCTCCTAGCTTCACAGTACAGATTCTTGACTGATGCTCGTTTGAAGCTACTTGGACAGAACTATTAAAATGTAGGTATTGTCCATTCCATGTCGGTTGTGGGTAAATAGACCTCTGGAGACAACCATCTTCCAGCCATTGTACGGCATTGTGCAGTCGAAAGTCGACAGATACCCTCCTTATCTTAACTCCAACTGTGTATGCAAATCTTCATGTATCTGCGGGAGCAGCTAAATTGGGACAACAGAAAGAAGGGCGCACTTCCGATTCTTGGAACATGTACCGAAAAGCCTACATCTCAAGGGAACAAACGCTTACAATAGCGCCATTACTAGGCATCTCCTCGCCACACATCATAAGGTGAGGTCGCGATATCCTTTAAAATTATCAACAGTCAATGCAGCTCAATTCTCCCCAAGTTTGCCGAAGCAATCTCTATCATACCCCTGAAAGCCGATTTATGCGTTCAGAAAGAAGCAGTTATCAGTCTTTTCTTGCCCATCTGGTAACTGGACGTCATTCATTAATATGTTTTTCATTTGATTGCGTAATCTTTGGCTTTGACCTCACCCCACCTCCTCCGATATAGTTGAATTGTCCCTGTCTGCTGTTTCTATGATTTCAGTTGAACTCAGTACAGCGTTCCCCAATTTATTAGTTACCCATCATCTTACGCATCTCTTGTCTTTATTACGTAACTCCTTTGCCATTGTATGCATACATTTACATTGTTTTAACTTGAACTCCCTGTGTACAGACTATATAATAGCGTTATATTTCTGAGCATTGTTCACTAATTGTTCGGAACTTTCTATCAACTGACATCATGTGAAATTAGCAAGTACGTTAAAACTTTTCTGTAAATAAAATTGCTAACGTATATTTAGGCTGTAAGCAGTCGATCTATGAGAGAAGCTAACGAAATTCACAATGATGGTACCTACCACTGTTATTCTTGCTTTATTCAAATGTTTATAACACTTTAATCCCTCACTGATATCTTGTATTATTGTTATTGTTCCCTTGGGTTCCTAGTGGAACATAGGGCTTCAACTGCACGTCTCCACTTGCTTCTGTCTTCTGCTTTACTTTTCACCTGCGTCCATGTCAGTCCATACTGTTTCAACTCCTCTTCACACGATCTCCTCCATGTCACCCTTGGACGTTCCACTCGCCGCTTCCCTTTCAGCGGGTTCCACTCGAGCTATGGCCTGACGCGCGATGTCACCCAGCGGCCTCCTCAGCTCAGTGAGTGCCCAATCCATCTCCACTTTCTCCTGCATATCTGTTGGCCAATTGGTTCTTGTTTTGTTTGTTCCCATAGTTTTTTGTTGGTGATTCTTTCTGGCCATCTAATCTTCAGTATAGAGCGGAGACAGTTGTTGATAAAGGTCTGCAACAGGCTGTTGGAAATATTCTCTGTGACACTGGCCAAGTTTCTGATCCGTATATAAGAACTGACTTGACGTCGTTTGTATTGAAAATCTGAATTTTGTTGTTGATGCAGGCTGAGTGACGAAGATTTCTAGATTGGTTTCAGGTTGGTCAATGTGTTCCTCGCCTTCCTGATTCTCGCTCGATTTGACATCCTCGTCCGTTCCTCCTGTAGTTGAGACAATGCTCGCTAGATAAGTGAATGAAGTAACCTCTTTCAAATCTAGGCGAGGTTTATCTTGTATTATATATAAGTATAGTTATATATGCGCTTGTCTTAAATTTCCTCTTTACACGCACACACATATATATATTTATATTATTTTATTTAATGATTATAGATAATTTGTTTCAATGAATCAAAAGTTGAACCTGGCAGTATATTCTCGTCTTTCGCACAGTACGAGTAACATGAATAAATGATGAATATTATTGTGACAGTTGATGGCGAGGAGGACGATGAAACATACGAAAATTGATTCCAGTGTTAATTATTCAGATTTTTGTTTTGCTAATTATAATCACTTCTGATTGATGTTTCTGTACATTTTTTTCAACTTCTTTCATGACTACTAAGTACCATTATAACAACAACAACAACTACTACTACTACTACTGAGACGAGACTTTGATGTTTTGTTTGTCTGCTTATTTGCTTGCTTGCTGGAACAAATTAGAATCATGCTTGTATAATTTTTAAAAGAAAATCGCTTGTTTCGCTTTTGCTGCTCTCTTTGCTTTTCTTCATTATTCATACACCGAAAAGAGACTCGTCGCTGAACTACTGTGGTCGGTCGGCTGGTTATCTCTTTTCCAACCTGATCCATCCTATTTCAGCTGACATTGCCCGTAGAGGAATTGTTGTTGATGCAATGCTGAGCTGTGAAAATAGTATTCAGACGTTGGTGTTACACCAGCAAATACAACGGTTCTAACTATATGAGAATAAAATTCTGTTGGAACCCACTGTCTGTATCACACCACCACCACAATATGATTTTGAGGAATAATTCATGCTCGAAACACGTCATCCATTTTAAGAGAATGAAATATCTCCATATCATGAATTAAAAGTCAATCTGAAAGAAGAATATTCTTTTCAATAATTTCTCCTCTTCAGGTTCTCACAATTAGAAAATAGAATATTTGTTGTCGTCACAATAATGATAGCCAGTTATGCAGCGGATACATTTTTTACGTAGAATAACAGATTAGTTTAGGGGGTGACAAAATAAGTAGTAGTATTTGTGTGACAAACGTGCTCTGGGCTGAAATCGATTACAAAATATTTCTGTGAAATGGAACCCAGTGGTGGTGATTAGTAGTGAGTCATAATAGATTCGTAGAATATGGGGTAGGGCGGCGAAAAATTGACACCAACACAACCTTCAAGGTGATATACCGAATTCCGAAGTCGTTATCATGTATAGTTTGCTTACGTCTGCTACACATAGCTGAAGCTGTTGCAATAAGATCGACTACACCGGAACTTTGTATCCAAAAAGAACACATCCAGACGCTGTCCCTACCGTGGTTAAACTTGGATAAATGATTCTTCTTCTCAACAGGAGTGCTTATTCCCCATAGGCCTATTGGTTATTTTCTTTCTTTCTTTGCTTATAATTATTATTCGTCATAAATTTATACCCATCATTTGAACATTCTCTGAATACCATCGAATTTTCCATTTATACTATCCGGACTTATTATTATTATTATTAGTGGTATTATCTCTTTTCTCAATATATGCCTCCACCTGTTCCATTTCACACATTGGTTATGTCATGATGAACTTCTCATTTCAATCTTACTATCTCCTCTTTAATACATACTATATTGTACTAGCCACTCACTCACCTGACACCTTTTATAACCTTGAACTGACTTTTCAATTTCTCCTACCCCACATTCTAAGAATCTATTATGACTCACTACTAATCACCACCACTGTGTCCCATTTCACCGAAATACTTTGTAATTGATTTCAGCCTAGCACGACGTTTGTCACACAAATACGACTATTTATTTTGTCACTCCCTGAGCTAATCTGTTATTCTACGTTAAAAATGTATCCGCTGCATAATTGGCTATCATTATTTTAAAAACAACAAATATTCCATTTTATAACTGTAAGAACCTGAAGAGGAAAAATGATTCAGGAGGATATTCTTCGTTCAGATTGACTTTTATTACTGAATATCACTTTGTGATTTTTCAAATAAACTGGTCTAATATGGAATTAGATTGTACCACAGTGCCCCGAAGTTCTACACACTTATATTAGATAGACTTTTGTAAATCTGATATGGAACGAAATGTTTTCTGATTGGTAGTTGTCAGTACAGTTAGCGTAATTTGCAGAATAGGTGTTTCTTAATTGTCGGATTAGAGGTAATTGATATTGAAACAACTTGTGATTGTTTCAGTGGAACAAACACATAATTGAAGCATAAAATTCAGGGTGAAATTAACAACAGATTATGTATTTCTTAGGTATTTTGTGAATAATGTTATCATGTAGATATTTCGTCGCAAACAAGTAATCAGTTGAAAAATTATCTACCAAATTTAACTGCTCCTGTGGAGCCAGTCAGCCACATAGACCGTACAATTAGACGGGTTTCTCGTCGGATTTCCGAACATCACCCTGCATAGTGGTGGTTAAGTAAAGGACAAACAAAATCTATGTATAGAGCTATTCTATCTCATCTTGTGGATACAGAACACAAGATTGATGTTAACCAGGTAGGTGGCTTTCAGAGTCATTTACCGCATACCAACAAATCTCAATTTTGCCTAAAGAGTTCGACTGTTGAATATTGCTGAGACTGGCTGTTGGGATCCAGATTAAGAAGCCTAATTTGTGCATCCGAAAGAAGTTAATTCAGACATTAGCCTTACTTTGGCCATCCAGGTTTGAATGATCCTGAATATTTTTGGGTATATTTCATAATTTCAGTTGATATTCTATTTGCTACTATATCTTTATTATAATTTAAGCATCTTTAATGAACTGTAATTCCATTGTGATCTGACTTACCAAATCGATATTATTTAGAAAAACACTAATATTGTCATTGACTACTATTCTAGAATATCCTATGAATAAAAAAATATGTATAATTGTAGAGCGAGAAGATGAAATTATCGAAAAGAATATTCTTTGTTCAATTATTTTGCGTTTTATGGATGTCTGAAAAATTATGTACACAAACAATTGTAACATACCAGCAATTTTCACATGATCTCAGTTGACAGAGAGGTCAAGTTTTAACAAAAAATCAATGTACGTATACAATGGTACAGTAGTTACGTAATAAAGACAAGAGGTATAAAGCCAAAGATTACGTAATCGAAGGACATCCAGTTACCAGGTGGGCAAGGAAAGACTGATAACTGCTTCTTTGTGAACGCATAAATCGGGTTTCAGGCGTATGATAGAGATTGCTTCAGAAAACTTGAGCAGAATTGAGCTCCTTTGTCTAATGATAATTTTGCGATGTCCAACTCTTGACCCCTATCGAGGAGATGTCTGGTAATGGCACTATTGAAAGTGTTTGTTCCCTAGAGTCGTAGACTTTTCGGTACATGTTCAGAAAATCGGAGGTGCTCCTGTCTCTTTGTTCTCCCAGTGTGACTGCTACTGCAGATGCATGTGAATTTGTATATACACAGTCAGCACTGACATGAGGAGAGTATCTGTCGACTTTTGATTGTATCAAGGAACATGTGTTGTCCGATAGACGGGGAACAACTTAGCTGCAGGATGTGTTCTGGCTATTAAGGTACTCGACCTTCTGAGACTATTCTTGTAATATGCTCATCTTTAAAATGGAAATGAATGAAGACAGGCTTTTTTTCCCACTGTGATTTGTTGTACATTTGAGCCTTGATACCTTCCATATTTCCAAGTATTGGTTTGTAGGGATTTGAATGATTGATTGATTGGAGGATTTCATCATGAGCTGACATGAGTTAGACAACCATTGAGAAACTCTGGAGTACTGGACAGGTGTTTCGTCCTAGTTTGGGACTCCTCACAGTACGCACCCACTGCAGGGGGTTCGAACCCAAGACTTTCTGGTTACAAGGCGAGCTCGTAGACCATCAAGCCACTGGGACCTGATCCAATGGCCAGTCCATGAATTCCAACTTCTTCTAATTCACGATATAGCGCAACCTGTAGCCAATGCCTTCGTCGAGTATTTGTAATCACACCCGACCTACTGGTCACGACTTCCCACTAGAATCCCTGTTTAAATAGGACCAGTCGCTACTAAGCATCAAATCAGTTTTCATGTATTAGTGGGTGCGTACTGCCAAGGAGTCCAAAACTAAGGCTTAAAAGCTGTCCACTACTCCCAGGTTTTCCAATACTTCTCTTATCGATGTAAGCTCATGATGAAATCCTGTAACCATCTTCCATTTATGTTGATAAATCTGTGACGGTAACGGATTTTTTTCAACATCTTACGGAGAATCATAAAATCCTACTCTAATTTCTCTGCAGAGCATTTTCTCCTAGCTTCACAGTACAGATTCTTGACTGATGCTCGTTTGAAGCTACTTGGACAGAACTATTAAAATGTAGGTATTGTCCATTCTATGTCGGTTGTGGGTAAATAGACCTCTGGAGACAACCATCTTCCAGCCATTGTACGGCATTGTGCAGTCGAAAGTCGACAGATACCCTCTGTAAGATCAATTCAATTCCTATCCTTGAATCAAGTCAACCTGTCCGGGATCAGCCTAGCATTGTTGCAACACAATTATCCATGCCCAACGTGTCTATCCCACCTTTTTTAATTAACTGTGTATGTGTGTTTTTACTTCTATCCTTTTAGTCAGACAGTTGAACTCATGACCCAATCAGAGTATTTTGTGAACTGTTATTTTGCTGACCCATGTCTTATTTGTACTATTATGTTGAGTTTATCTTATTTATTGATTGGTTAAGTAGCCAATTAAATTCTATCTTTGTGCCTATGCTTTGTTTATCTCTTACTTGGGTTCATTCTTCTACTGACTGCCTACCTGAACGGTCGTGTCTGATCCGGCTAGTTCGTAATTTTGGCTTTAACGTTATTCCGCTCTGATAGCGGTTCTTTGCTTTCTGTTAAGCATTGTGTATTGTACTCTTGAAACCGTTAAGTACTGTAAGCGCAATATCGCTTGAAATTAAGTCACGCGTAGATAAAGGCTATCCCGGTCCAGAACAAACAAGAAGCCGGTCACTGTTTCTACGGTGTTTACAAAAACAGTCAATGGTCGGGCCACCGCCTCCCTCACATCAGTAATGTATTTATATTCAGCAGGATCTTCATACATCAAGCCCGTTTCCCCATTGGTGTGATAGTTAACGTAACCCATCAGGTTGAGCTGAACAAAGACCCCCCACAGCAGACCTGGGTCGCCCTCCTCCTTTATGCACGCTCCACCGAGCCCGGACATCATCCCCATCTGCATACCAATCTGTTGTTCCGTTGATAACATTAACATACCTAACATACTCCTATTGACTGGGAATTGCTCGAACTCCAACCCCGGAAAGCTGATGTTTTTAGCCCACCTGAGGTTCACCCTTCCAATATGAATTTCCTCCTGTTTATCATACACCACAGACTCCGACTCCCCCTCCTTCCTGTCCGCAGTGACCTCCAAGATATTATACAACAGCATCTTCTCCTCCGTGAGGTCCATGAAAACACTCTGGTGTAGAAGCACGCCCTCTCTACTGTACTGGAGCTCACAGCGCACATTTTCTCCAGCCCATAGCCCCAGAACCAGACCCACATAATCGTCAATCTGTCGGGAGCCCGCGACATATACACTAACCATTCTGTTGGCTTCCATTAAAGAGAGGGTCTCACCACCCACTTGGATCTTCCCATTGCTCATACCCTCCAGATATTGCTGCAATCCAATCCTCCACACCTTCACTGTAATTGGCATCTGATACACTTTAGCTTGCACTGAAGTGGGTAGATTCTTACCATCATTGAGTGTGGTCCAGCAATGATTACTGCTCACCACATCAGCTAACATCCTGCTCTTTAATAAGCTATATGCAATCAAGCCACACCCATACCGCCTTCCGACAAACTCCACCCTCCTCAGATTAGCCACCATATATCGGATGACATCCCCCTTCAGCCACTCGCTTTTGCAAACACCATCGATGTACTTTGCGGCCAACACCTCCGCAGGACCAGCACCACCCAGGATATCTAGCCCTTCCTTGGCGATGACCACCTGACGGTCCAACCCTCCTTCGATCTTAAACACCCGATCCCGTCTCAATCGCTTCACGACCCCTTGATCCACCGCAGTGGTTCCCCCTTCCACAACCTCCTCCACCGCGGACCTCTCGAAGGTGACATGGGGCAAGATCAGAGTCTTCCTCTCAATCATAGTTCCCAAGTCATTGCTCTTATAAAAGCCAACTCCACCCGCCGTCTGTATGCTTGTCAACAAGTCAATCTTCTTATCGATGTTCCCTTCTATCATATGCATCAACTTGTTCCAATTGGCCGCCAACACCCTAGCATATTCTGAGTTATTATTGACAGCTGTGTCTAGATAACCAATGAAAATCTGACGGCTAGTACAGCAACTGCCATAAAACTCATAAATATGTTCAGGCTTGGCTAAGCCACCCTCCAGCACCTGTCGAATAGTGCCATTTGATAGGAAAACTTTCAACCGTGAGAGATTCTTCAGGCGGGATTCCACGTCATCAAAGTTCTGTTCTTTAATACTGTCCATATGTAGAAGGAGATGACAAAGTCGTTCCTCTCCGTAACGATGCTCATGGTGCAGAAGCCACTGTGCGGCACTCAACATGACTCTGTTGTCTCTCCACTCGACTATTGCTCCGCATATCCTACGCACCTGCCATCCCCAGCTACTGAACAGGTCATACACTCGCCTGTGGGCGC